CATTCTGTTTTGATTGCTATGGCTTTGTAAGATAGTTTCAAAACAGGAAGTGTGATGCTTCCAGCTTTATTCTTCTTTCTCAAAATTGCTTTGGCTATTTGGGGTTAAAAAAATCATGCTTTTTAAAATGTAAAATACAGAGCTGAGATGGAGTGCAAGAAACGGAACTCTTCAGATGCTGAGGAGACAAAGAGGGCTCATGCAGCAGTGAGTGGGGGCCTGTGCGGGAAATCAGAAGGCACCCATGACCAGAGGGCTGCAGCATTGCTGTCTGCATGGACATAGCTGATCACAGTGGAAGTTGTGCCTCCATCAAGATGGGAGCTAGCAGATGGCTTCCTTTTTAAGGGGGCTCTGCAAGAAGCATCCATGAAACTGACTTTAGGGACATCTTCAGAACACATGCACATGGTGTGTGCATTGGACCCTGCAGAAGAATGTTCCCACTGAAAATGGCTCATAGGTCAGGATTACCAAGTGCCAAAGAGAGTGCAGTGCCATGAAGATCAATAATGATCACCAGTCCCCTCTGAGCACTTTCCAGGTGCGAGGGACCCACTGAGAGCTTTTAGTATATGAATCCTCACCAAAAAATGCATGAGGTAAGTACTGTGATACAGATTAGGAAACAGAGGCACAGAGAGGTTGAGGAACTTACAGTCACATAGCTAGCAAATAGTGGAGGTGGGACTCACACCCCCATGCTCTGGCTCCAGAGCCTGTGCTAAATGACAGACACACCTGAGGAAGGACAGGTCTAACTGCAGTCTGAAAGGGACTTAAAATATAGATCTTTACACCATATGGAAAGATTAAATCAAACCAGATTAAAGACCTAAATATAAGAGCTAAGATCAGAAAACCTTTTGAAGAAATCATATGGGAAAAGCTTCACAACATTAGGTTTGACAATGATATTTTGGATATGACACCAAAAGCGCAGGCAATAACAAAAACCCCAGACAAATTGGATTTCATCAAAGTTAAAAACTTTTGTGCATCAAAGAACATGAGAAACAGAGTAAAAAGGCAACCCACAGAATGGGAGAAAAGATTTGTAAATTATATATCTGGTAAGGGTTAATATTTAGAATACATGAAAACTCTCAAACTCAACAATGAGAAAACAACCCAAATCAGTGATAGGCAAAGGATCTGAGTAGATATCTCTCAAAAGATTATATACAAATGGGTAATAAGCACTTGAAAAGATGCTCCATATCATTAATTATTAGGGAAATGCAAATCAAAACCATGAGATCCTGCTAGAATGGCTATTACCAAACATCAACTGTTGGCCAAGACATGGAGAAACTGGACCTGTGTAGAGTGCTACTGGGAATATAAAATGGTGCAGCCACTGTGAAAAGGAGTATGATGGTTCCTCAAAAATTCAACGGATTCCCATATAATCCAGCAATTCCAATTTAGGGTACATATTCAAAAGAATTGAAAGTAGGGACTTGGAGAGATACAGTGGTGCTGGTTGCCAGGACAATATGAATGCATTCAATGCCACTGGGCTGCATGCTTAAAAATGGTTAAAATGGCACATTGTATGGAGGTACATTATGCCAAAACTTAAAAAAATACTGATCTTAGTGTGGTAAAAAAGAGAAAAAATAGAATCCATGAAGAATAGGCTTTTGTGAAAACACAGGGGATTTGAGAGAGAGATGTGAAAATGAAAAACAGTTATTAAGTTGGAACAACGAAAATCGCTCTGGCCAGGTTAAGCAGCAGGCTGGGATGCAGAACTGGGGAATCTCCTGGAACACAGGACAGAGGAAGAGATGAGAAATATGAGCAAGGATTAGGAGACAGAGGACAAAATGGCCCCAGGCAGCATCGGGGAAGAGTCCCCAAAGAGATGACTGGAAAGGAGGAGGGTGACGTTCAAAGAGATGATGCCTGTGTTTCCAGAACTGAGGAAAGCTGAGTCCCTCAGGTGAGCAAACTCATTGCGCTCCAGGGAAGTCGATGGTGCAGAAACCATGAGAAAGTTCCTGGAAGACACGGGAGATGTGAGTGTTCAACTGTCACCAGTGAGCTGCTCTGGACCTTTTCCTCTATCTGTCTAGTGAGGGGCTGATCTCTGCTCGGCTTTCCTGTTGTCATGGTCTGTGACTTGGGGAGGTGATGCATTTTTTATAAAGAGAGGAAACTATATACTATAAGTTCTATATTATCTCACTTAATCTTTGCAGAAATTTAAGACGGTTTGTAAGAACCATTTCGTAGGTGTCAAAATGGAGGCTCAGAAAATTGAATTCTCCAGGCCACTAAGGTACTACGTGCAGAGGCAGGATTTGACTCAGGCCTAGTCCAAAGCCACTGGATTCACTCACGTTAGAGCCAGGGTAGGCTGGAATGGGGGTGGGCAATTGGAAGAAGAGGGTGTTTGAGAGATCAGAGAAACTGTCCAGCAACCATGCCTACCTTGGGCCCTCATAGTTAAGAGCTGCTGAGGAGTGATCAGCTGTCAGACATCAGCAGGTGCAGCACAGGGAAGGGCTCAGACTTCAGGGTCACTGGTAGAAAATGCCAGAATGGCCTCTCTTTCTGCTGTCACCCCTCTTCTTCCTCTGCCTTCTTCTAGTTAGACCTAGCTATACCCCCTCACCCTAGGAGACAGTAACAGGAGTCCAAACAATTTTAATATTTCAAAAAGCCTAGGGGATAAGGCTGGTTAGGCTGACCCCCATGTTAAGTCTCGTTGCCCTCAGTCACACCTTTGGATGTTGACTGCTTGGTGCCCTCATGCTCTTCCATAAGCTGTTTCAGGCAGCATGAACCCCTGTGTTCACAAAGATAGGAAACGGTATTGTGACAATGACCTTTGTCTGGCAGGCAAAGAGCTTTTGAAACGTCAGGCTGGGGACGGGGGGTAATTAAAAGTCTTTGGTGGTAGAACTTTAGAACTATTTAGAGGATATGTTTATAAATTCCATTGTCCTAACTAATCATAAACTCCTACCCTCTTGCATATCCAAAATACTTCAACCCCACATCCTGTTCCATGGAACAGGCCTGTACAACCTAGTCTATGTGCAACATGCACACTGACACATGCACACACAGATACACACCCAGACACAGACACACATGGCAGCTGGAGATTGGGAGGGAAAAAAAGCTGGACCAATGGATATTGGAGACAGATGTTGGGGGCTGGGCCTGACTGAAGTCAAGGCATCAGCAAAGCCGGGAATAGGCTCTGATGAGGGGTCCTCACAGAGGGGCCAGGCTGGCAGTGGAAGCCTCTGGCTTTGGGCAACTGATCAACTTCCATTTCGCCAGGTTCTAGATTTGGCATTTGACTATCTGAAAAATAGATTGTTGTGTTAATTGGAAAAAGGATACACAAGCATAGATACACTGTGATCTCATTTAAAATATGTACCGAAGGGGCACCTGATTGGCTCGGTCAGTTAAGTGTCAGGCTTCAGCTCAGGTCATGATCTCACAGTTCGTGAGTTCGAGCCCCACATCGGGCTCTCTTCTGTCAGCGCAGAGCCTGCTTCAGATCCTCTGTCCCCCTTTCTCTCTGCCCCTCCCCCACTCGTTCTCTCTCTCTCTCTCTCTCTCTCTCTTAAAAATTAACATTAAAAATTTTTTAAATTAAAAATAAAATATGTACTGAGAAAAAAAAGTGGAAAGATATACAGTAAAACCTGGGATGGTAGGTCACTCGTTCTGCGAGTGTTCTGCAAGACAAGCAAACATTTGTAATAAATTTTAACTTGATAAATGAGAGATGTCTTGCAATACGAGTAGTACATGATGCTGAATGTCACACAATCGCAACAGAGCCAATGGTTCTTGAACTTCACTTTGATATATGAGTGCTTTGGATTACCAGCATGTTTCTGGAAAGAATTATGCTCGCAAACCAAGGTTTTACTGTATACCAAAATGTCAGTGGTGCTTTTCTCTTGGTGTTGATATAAAGGGCTTTTATTGTCTTTATAGTTTTCTGTATTTTCCAAATTTTCTATACTAAACATGTAGATAAAAGTTATAAAAATGTCCCTCAAAATGCTACTTCCTCAAGCCCACATTGGCTTTTTGAGGGAAGGCTCAGGGTGAGAGAATGAGCTTGGGGGAATGGGAAGGGGTGGCCTCCGGAAGTTAATCCCTGTGTGACTGCTAGCTCTTGCCAAGCTCCAGCATTTAGGGCCCTTCTCCATCTGGGGTGAAAAGGGTCTAGCCTTGGACCCTGTGGGCAATACTCAAATAGCTCTGTCCAGTCATACAAGTAGACACGGAGCTGGTGCGGGCAGCCTGAGGTGACCAATGCGGTCAGTTCTGCACCCTCACTGAGTCAGACACGGGCAAGGCGCTCTCCCCCTGGGACCCGGAGGAGAGCCAGAAGTCTTCCATCTAAAGGACCTGCCATTTATGGGAAAGCTGGGGCAGGGCTCCCGAAGCACGTGGAAATGGAAGGCCGGAAGCCCAGAATGTCTGCTCCCTCCCCCGTCTTCTTGGGTTGGTGCCGAGGCTGGGCAGGGGCTGCTGGCCACGGCGGGACATTGGCTGACTGCCTGGGCTAGGGGCGGGTTCTGGGGCCAGAGCTCCAGGGCATTTTCCCAGGCTCTTCTTGGAGGAGGATGAAGATGTCCAGTGAAGTGACCCACTTGACTGCCAGGAGGTGGGAGAGCGTCCCAGTCCCTGTCCCTGGCTTCCCTATGAGGGACACAGACTCAGATGGGGGAGGCAGGTCCTTTAATTGTATTCACAGAGAGACTGGGAGGGGGCTCCATGTTAGGCGGCCTGCTGCCCAGGGACTTGGGGGCAGGGTCCGTGGGGGTTTGCGGTCTGGAGGGCAGATGGTCAGTACGGGACTCTAGACATGGTAGTGGGGGACAGGGTGGGAGGAGGGGGGCTGGCTGAGGTGAGCCTTGAGAGGAGCGGTGGATCCTCTGCCCACGCCCCCACGCCCCCAATCTGGTCTCTTGGTGGCAGAAGCTCCCCGGCAGGCCCAGCCCACCCCGGTCATCTCAGGAGTGCCTCAGCTCCACCTCGGAGCCAAACTGGGGCCCATGGTGGGGCTGGTGGAGGCTGTGACGGCGGATGCTGAAGAGCCGCTGGGTGAGGACCAAGGTGGCCACCAGCAGGGTTACGCCCAGGAAGAGCAGCACCCACTGGCCCACGCGGGCCTGCTGCTCCTCCAGGTCCAGGCCCAGGAAGTTGACACGGCCGTTGCCCGGGACGGGGCCTTCTGAGTGAGCTGGGCAGGGGAAGCAAGGAGAGCAGGCGATGGGCAGGCTGTGGGCAGGCAGTGGGCAGGCCGATGGGCAGGGCTGGGGCTTGGTTAGGCTCGCTTCTCTGTTCTTGCTCTGAGGTCAGACTGCAGTCTGCCTGAACTGGGGAGGGGGCTGGCCTGGGGCTGAGGGGGATGGGGTGTGGTACCAGAGTTTGGTGTCCAGTTGTACTGAGGCCAGCCCAGCTTCTCCCCGTGCCGCCCATTTTCAGTGAGAAGCCAGTCCAGCAGCGGCTTGAAGTAGTTCATCATGGCGGACGCAGACATGTTGGTCTGGCCTGTGATCAGCTTCATGGCTTCTGGCCATGGCTTACTGAAGCCCAGTTTCATGGCATCCCTGGGGGGGGCACCAGAGAAGGGACACAGAGTCAGTCAGAAGGACAGGTAGGGAGGCTTGCTGCTCTTGCCCCAGCCTAATTCCCACCTTCCATGTCCCCTCTTCTGGCCTAAACCTCCTTTGGGATTGGGAGGGCTTGAGCAGGTCTGGGCGGTAGGGGATGGGAATGGGGGAGGGATGGTTGGGGCCCAGAGGGCTCTAGTTCCCCACTGGGGTGGCACATTAAGGTCTGGCACAGGCTCCACCTGGGATCCCCAACCCAGACGCCAAAATGGCAGGTTTTCCCAGAAAAGCCCCACTGGGGTCAGAGCATGGGAAATGGTCAAAAGAAAGCCAGAAAAGACTCACGCCAGGCGCTTTCCTGCCTCCTTAGACTGGTAGATGTCACATGTGTGCAAGGGGCCCTTGTGGCCAGCTGCCTGACACAGAGCCTCGTGGAACTGGAACTGAATGACAAAGCCGACAAAGTACCTGGAGTGGAGGGAAGCATGGTGTGGGGTGGGGTGGCTGAGGACCTGTGCCACCGAGCCCCAGTTGCCCGTCACCTTCCACTGCAGCCCGGGTGTTGCAGGGAGCTCACCCTCTGGTCTTTAGGGTCTTCAAGGCTCCCTGTTCCCATGCCTCCCACCCGAGAGGCTCCTTCCACGTCTCGGGAGGACCTGCTTTGAGGAGCTCTGGGGATCACTCATGGGTGAGGAGGGTCAGGGCAGAGCCCTTCAAAGATTTGGGCAGTTGCTTCTGAGGCAGTAAGGTCTCCATCCCTGGGGTGGATGCAAGTAGAGGCCAGGTGTTGCCTCAAGAGTCCCACGCTTCTGGCAGGGTGGTTTGGGCAGGGAAGCCAGCCCAAATGATCCCCTTTATTCCAAACAGCAGGGATTCCCTGGTATAAATCTGCAGGTCAAAGCCAGAGCCACCTCTGCACTTGGTTCAGAATGTCCCAAACCAGCAGCGCTGGCCTCCCACTTTGAATGCTGGGCATAAGCCATGTGCCACTAACTTTCCTGGCATTTCTTAAAAGTGCTTTGCCAAGTTTGCTGGTCAGAATTTGGAATGTGTCTCCTTTGCCCACCCCTGCCCTGGAGAATTATCTACTCTAAGCTCAGAAGCTAACCATTCACTTGGGCCTGGCTTTCACATGAAAGTGAGTGCCAGCTTGGAAGCTGGGAAACCAGTGGAGAAGGCAGGTGGTAGCCCTCCTCACAGGTCATCCTGGTACATTGTCCAGGTTGGGCCTGTTCTAAGGGCCCTTGGATCCCCCTTGGTCCCCTGCCCACAGCTGCTCTCTGGAACATCTGAGAAGGCTTTCTCTCCTTTCCTACACAGTGAGAACACAATTCACCCGCCCTACACTTCTTTATTAGGTCCTGACTATATGCTGACATCATGCCAGGTGCTAGGTTGGAAAGGTGGGCACCATGAGCACAAGCCCTCCCCCACTGGGCTTCCAGGAACCACAGGCGGCAAGGGCTGGAAGTGACCAGAGCCCTCCTGGGACAGCCCTCCTTGCCCTCTGCCTTGCCTCACATGTGGCCTGGGCTATCTGCAGCTCAGGGACACACAGACCCTCCCCTCAGATGTCCCCAGACCCTTCTCTACCAGGAGGGTCCCAGACCCTACAATTACCCTTCCTAGCCCTCAGTAAGTGCTCTCCTGCAGCAGGCAGAATGGAAGGGCTGGACATGTCTACACTCTGGCTACATGACTCACAGCACTGGTGTGTTTACATGTCCCAGTTAAGAGTGTAACTTCAGGGGTGCCTGGGGGGTTCAGTCGGTTAAGCGTCCAACTCTTGGTTTTGGCTCAGGTCATGATCCCACGGTTTTGTGAGTTCAAGCCCCACATCGGGCTCTGTGCTGGCAACACAGAGCCTACTTGGGATTCTCTCTCTCTCCCTCTCTCTCTCCCCTGCCCCCTGCTAACGCTGTCTCTGTCTCTCTCAAAATAAATAAATAAAAACTTAAAAAAAATTTTTTTTTCAACGTTTATTTTTATTTTTGGGACAGAGAGAGACAGAGCATGAATGGGGGAGGGGCAGAGAGAGAGGGAGGCACAGAATCGGAAACAGGCTCCAGGCTCTGAGCCATCAGCCCAGAGCCTGACACGGGGCTCGAACTCACAGACCGCGAGATCGTGACCTGGCTGAAGTCGGACGCTTAACCGACTGCGCCACCCAGGCGCCCCAATAAAAACTTTTTTAAAAGAATATAAATTCATACTAGTGCGTTATGGCCACCATTTCCTGATCATGCTCTGTATTGGACAGTATGTTAAGAAGTTCTGCTACAATTTTGTGAAATCTGCTACGATTTCACAGGTGCAGAAACTGATGCTCACAGACACTGAAAAATTTGCTTAAGGAAACAAAGAAGTGGAAACAAGATTTGAACCCAGTTCTGCCTGACCCCAGAACCCAGTTCTGCCTGACTCCATGCCCCTGAGAGCATAGCCTCCCAATCCAATTGGGTCTCTAACCCTAGTTTTAGTGTGTAGAAGGTCTTCCAGGTATAATTCCAATTATATCACAGGCAATATGTTGAATATATATTAAAGAAATCACAATCTTGTTTAAAAACAAAACAAAACAAAACAAAACAAAACAAAACAATGCTTAGCTCTAGCCATGGGTCATGGGTCATGGTTAATAATGTTAACTATCCAACCAAGGTTTTGTAACCATTAGCCAATTATAGTAGAGTTTCTGTTTTCAAATGCCTGGAGGGTAGAGGCTCTCATCACATCAAAAGTGTGAAACAACAATGAGCCTTGGTGGCAGGTAAGTGGCCTAGGCACAATGTGCCATGCAGCCAGGCCTCCCAGGTCACCGAGACAGGTAGCTCCCCACAGGGCAGTAATGGCACTTTGAACATTGAATAGCCTCTTCCCTTCCCCTTTACCTGATATAAGGCACACTTGAAGGAACGTGGAACTTGGCCCCTGGGTCAAAGTCCCCTTGAGCCCGGGCCACTGGGGGGCAGAGGCCCTGGTACTTTAGCCTGTCAAGGGGAAAGATGTTGGAGGGAGGGTTTGGGGAGAATAAAGTCAGGAAGAGTTGGTATTTTTTAGCTGAAGGGTGAACCTTGCCCCGGGGGTTCCACTGGACAGTCCAGATTCTGGTGTGCTGTGCCTCTGTGCACAATCACCCCCTGTGCACCTCATCACTTACACACACACTCACATATACAGATACCCATGGAGACACCCCCCCTCCTGAACCCACACCCCCACAGGATCATTCTAGAACCTGAGGTTCCACCACTCTTGGTTGTAGTTCTCCTTGGTGATGCTTCCATCAAATACCCTCCAGCGCCACTGGTCGACGAGGTAGCTGAAGGGGACAAAGGCGATCTTGTCGAGTGCCATCTTCATCAGAAAATTGATGTCTTGCTCTGCCAAGGGAAGGGAGCCTGGTCACCAGATGTCTGCCTGCCTCCTGCCACATCCCAGTGGCTCAGCCATGATGGGTGTATGGTGGGTGGAGAGGGGAGGAGTGGGCTCTGTGCCTTTCTGGGTCTAGCGACCTGCCTCTTGGGCTGGTATGGGAGTTCCATCTTCCCGGCTCACCCTGCTGGTGGCCTCCTTATTCCCCACTGTTCTGTCCCAACCTCTGCCTATGAGCCATCAAGTCCCCTCTCCCAGCCTCCCAAGCTCACTGCCCCTTCTTAGTCCCTCTGCCCACCAGGACTTCCCATTCCTCTCTCACCATAGCCGCCACCCTCGCTACTCAGCAGGTTGATACTGTGGAGGTGCTTGGGGGTAGACACTGAGAGGGCCAGCACATCTCCAATGGCCTCGTGAAAGCCAGGGTTGGCACCCTCCCGGAAGGTCACAGGCAAGTCCTTGTACTGCATGAAATACTGTATGTGGCCCATTTCATGATGGGCCACCACCAGGTCCTCCATGTTCACAGTGGTGCACTGCTTGATCCTGGAACACGGGGGGTGGGGCAAAGGGACCCGCTGTCCTTACTGCATACAAAGCAGACCCCCATCAATGCTATATGCAGGGAACACAGCTTTATGGGAAGGAAAACCAAAGGAGGTATGGAATGAGCCCGAGAAAGAAGGAATCTGAGGGTCAGAAGCCCCTACAGCATGGTCATCCAGGCCATTCTTCTGCTTCCAACTTCTCTGAATCACTCCAGCCCTCACTGCCATGCTGTTTTCTGACTGTGCAAAGTACTTGCTCAAAAGGCATAACTGAGGCTTTGCACTCAATTGTGATTAGTGCAGAACTTTCTAGAATGTGGGTTCTGTGTTTTTCATGCACACATTTTGTCTCTTCCAAGACTTAGGTTTCCTGAAGGGAACAACAGTTATTCTGAGCTTTTCTACATCCCATGTGCCCAACACCAGCAAACACATTCACCCAGGACTTTCATGGTTAGGGCTGAAATGACATCTACAGAGCTGTCCACATCAGAGGCCCGACCTCGCCCTTCATCTTTCCTCATTCTCTTTTGTGAGCCGATCAAATTCTCCCTTGGATATAACCAAAGCCCTTCAGTTCAGTTGACCACATTTTTCTGCCGTTGTATTGGGATGGGAAGAACTTCCTGGCATCCTGGTAACACCGAGGTTGGGGTCTGCCCACCTTCTCCTATGACTCCCCATACAAGGAAAACTCCCAAAAGAGTTCTCAACCCTCTGATTCTGTACATCCATCCCTACAGCTGCAGTCCTCATGCCTTTGAAGGAAGGGCCCAAGGATAGGCAATCCCGTGAACTCTGGCTGTTTTGTTCTAGTCTCTCTGTGTCCACTCTTACTAGAAGAAACTTCATCAATAGTGGCAGATCATCTTTGCCACTTCTCCCAAGAGGTGGGGTCTTCTTTTCCTTCTTTGCATCTGTGACTTGCTTCAGCCAAGAAAATGTGGCAGAAGTGACTCTGTGCCAGTTTTGGATTTAGCCTTTAAGAAACCAGGCTGTTCTTGCTTTCTTTCTGTGGGATGCCGACTGCCAGTAAGAAATCTGACTGCCTGACTGTCATACTGGGAGGAAGCCCAAGCTAGCCTGGAGAAAGATGTTCTCACCAATCCCCAGCTTCTCCAGTCATCCCAGTCAGAGGACCCAACATGTGAGTATAGAAGCCAAATGAAGCTTCCTGTCCCAGCACGTGCCACATGGAGAAAAACAAGGCTCCAGACACATGGCCCCACTGAGCTACACCAGCATCTCCAGCCATCAGAGCTACCCCAGCTGAGGTCTCCATCATTGCACAGCAGGGACAAGCCATTTCCACTGCATGGTGCCTGCGCTGCTGACTGATAAAACCACAAACATAAACAAATGGTTTTTCTATGGCAGTAAGTTTTGTGGTGGTTTGTGCATCTGTCTATGCAGCAATAGACAACTGTCCTCCAATGAAGACAGCTTCTGAGTCTCTGCCAATGGTGAATATGGATCTGTGCAAAGCCCCCCATGTTCTCATGTACCTGTCTGTGTCAAGACACATGCACCCAGGAAGATGGCCTGCTGTAGGCAGAGGTCACTCCAGAATGAGGGAAGGCTGGGAAGCTCTCACAGTGCTCACCTAGCACTGGGACCCTGGGCACTAACCAAGCTAGTGAAGCTGGTCAGTGCTTGAGAAGACCCTCACCTTGTAGACAAGGCTCCCCCGCCAGAAGCCAATGGCCAACCCAAGGCCAGGCCCAATGCTCTTGACCTTTCATGCTAAGCTCTGGCCCCTGTACTTGTTTCTGCTCACTCTGGCTGAGGGGACAATAGTGGAAGCTGTACTTGGTTCATCTCCTTGCGCACTGATAAGGTCCCCTGGCTGCAACCTGGACACACCTGAAGTCCTTGCCATTGTAGAAGTCCCAGGCAGAGGCGTGGCACACTACTTCCCGCCCGTCAGTCGGCTTTTCTAGCATTGACTTGTTCCAGAACTCAAAGGGCACAGGCAACAGCCCCAGGGAGGTGAAGAAATTGTCCGCTTCCTCAAACATCCTTCTGGGTGTCCAGCCCTACAAGCAGAGGGAGCCCTGCCAAACCTGGGGCCTCTGGGGACAGACTGTGTACTGCGTCAGGGTGGGGGTTAGGAGAGGGCTCAGCCAGAGGGAATTCCTGAAGCAGAGGCCTTCTCCCACCAAGGCAGAGGTCTCCCCTCCCTTGTGCCTTGGGGTTGCCCTGGAGGAGCAGAAATGTGATGAGGGGCCCAGTACGCACCTGCTTTATCATGGCCTCTGTGGCATCTATCTTGGGGGCTGAAGGGAAAGGCACCACCAAGTCATAGATGTTGGACCAGGTCTGAGCCCACATGTTCCCTGGAGGCAGGGAGGAGAAGAGAAGGCAGACAGAGGAGAGAGAGATGTTATTTCTTACACTCAACACCATCACCCATGGAGAAGGAACCAGATCCCAAGCCTTATGATCACAAATGTATCCCGAGCACCTGCTATTTGCAAACCTTGCTGGGATTTGACATACATTGTTTTTAGCCTGCACATCCAGCCCTGCTTTGAGTGCCAAGGGCTGAGTTCTAAACCCCAGCTCTGCCCCCACTCTGGGGGCCACTTGGGCGTAATGCCTCCTTTTCCTGGGGTCTGTGTCTCTCAGTCATCGAGCTGATATCCGCTCCCACATCCTTGATCAAGGATGGCTGGTGTCTTGGGCTACAAGGACCCTAGAGACTGAGCAGGAACTAGATCCAAAGCTGGATGAGTTTCTGGAGTCTCCCTCATGGTTGGCAACTGGTCTGTGGCCCCGTCTGGCCTCTCTGCTCACAGTAACAAACCCCCCAGGGATGTGTTCTCTGTGGCTCGACAGGGACAAGAACCTGGTGGCCTCCGCTTTGCTCTAGTCCCTGCCAGCCCTCACTGTCTTCCACTGCCTACTTCATTCATTCAGGGCATTTGAGTTTACAACCCCTGAAAAAATGAGGGTCCAAAAGTTGGGTAGGATCTACACTCTCAATATTCTCTGTTCTCCTAATTCCTCTTCGCCTGAGTGTTGTCCTTCTAACTCCCTACTGCTACTTTTTCCATCTGTCAGAATCTCTCATCTTTTAAAAAATTTTTTTAATTTTTGAGGGAAAGAGTGAGAGCACACATTTGAGCAGGGAAGGGCAGAGAGGGGGACACAGGATCTGAAGCAGGATCTGTGCTGACAGCAGCGAGCCCGATGCAGGGCTCAAACTGTGAGATCGTGACCCGAGCTGAAGTTGGATGCTTAACCGACTGAGCCACCAAGCCTTCCCAGAACCTCTCATCTTTCAAGGCTCTGCTCGTGTGCCACTTCCTTGGCGGGGGGGGGGGGGGGGGGGGTGCTCACTTCTCATTACCGGCCCCTTCCTCACCACCCCTGCCCAAGCATCATGGGTCATATGGTCTCCTGAGATGATATTATGAATTCTGTCACTGCTCCACCCGTGGCGACCTGCACCGAGTGGCTCTGTAGCAAATGTGCTAAATGCAAGCAAGGGGCTCATCTCCCCGAACCCAGCTGCCACCCCACCCCGGCCCCGGCAACATTCCCTCCAGCCTCACACCCTCACTCCCTCCACCTGACATACCATCCTAAGATCCTGCCCAGCCTGCCCTCTGCCATGTGGAGAGCACCGGCCCCACCTTTCCTCATATGTGTCTGTCCCCCACCCCACACCCCCACCCCAGGCCCGGTCCTTGCGCTCACCCAGCAGGTGAGCTGGAATGGGGCCCTCCAGGTTGATGTGTTGGGGCCCGTAGTGGCGGTGCAGGGCCCGGCGCACGTAGGCGTGCAGGTTCAGGTAGAGCGGCTGCAGCTCCTGGTAGAGCTGCTCCAGGTCGTGTTCCAGGGTTGGCATCTCGTACATGGCTCTCCAGGAGTCACCTGCATCTTCGTAGCCTGCAGAGGGGGCACAGGCTCTCTCAACACCTGACCATTCCCTGAGTACCCTCTGCCCCGCCCCCTCTAGGACCTCCCTCTCACCAACGTTAGGGGCTCAGAGGACCCCTCTGAGGGCCCCAGAGAGCCAGAGATCTTGGCCAGAGGGACTCACCATTGAGCTTGGCGGCCTTGTTGGCAAGTTCCACATATTTGGGGAAAAAGGGGAGGATTGCTCTCCCCACCTTGTCTCGCCAGCTCTTCCAGGCCCACAACAGATCTTCATATTTCCGGGACGTGGCCATCAGATTCGTCAGATCTGGAGGGAGTGGGGGGTAGTGACTTGAGCCTCCAGCCCTGGGCTCATCTCCCACCTCCTATAAGGTGATCTTAGTCATAGGAGTTTGGAACTCGGATAAAATTGGTGAACTCACGTCAAAAGGCCTGTACAGGCAGTGAGTCTAGTGAAATGGGAGAAAGGGCGGTGCCAATTCTACAAAGACTTACAGGGCGGGTGGCCCCAGGGCCACGCTGCATGCACACCACCTCAGGGCTGCAGCAGCCTTGTGAAGGGTGCGCAGGTTTGCACATCAGCGTTTTGGTGACATGGCGGGTCCCCCCAGCCAGGAAGTGGCCCAGCCAGGCACAAACCCAGACTCTAGGGCTGCTGCTCCTCACTGATTCCCTGCAAACCCCTCTGTGGGAGGGACAAATGGCTTGGCCATCACAAGATCTGAGGTCCTCTCTAGTCATCCACTGACCCGAAAATTACCTTGCAAGTCACAAGACCCCCCCTCCTTTCCCTACCTTTAAACATTTTTCTTTTATTTTTGAGAGACAGAGAGAGATGGAGTGTGAGTGGGGGAGGGGCAGAAGGAGAGGGAGACACAGAATCTGAAGCAGGCTCCAGGCTCTGAGCTGTCGGCACAGAGCCCGACGTGGGGATCGAACTCACAAACCATGAGATCATGACCTGAGTCAAAGTCGGGCGCTTAACTGACTGAACCCCCCAGGTGTCCCTCCCTATCTTTAAAATGGGGATAATCCAGCACTCATGGGGTGTAAAAATCAAAAGGGAGCACGAGGCCCCTGAGCAGGGAGTGAGCCTTGCTGGTCGCTGAGTCCTCACAGGGCCCCGGGCACCTTTCGCTAACGGTTAGTGAACCGGACTGAATAAAAGGATTGCTGTGAAGACAGTACAGAGAGCCATCCCAACATCATCAGGGAGCCCGAAGTCCTGGGTCTGTGTCCTGTCAAAGCCACGGGACTGTGCGTGTTGCCTCCTCAACATAGATTAAGTGGAGCTGACATGCACCTCTCGGAGCTGGGGTGAGGACGGCCTGAGCTCCTGTGTCATTTCGGAAGCCTCACACAGATCGATGGTGGCTTCTCTTTCTGCCTGAGGACAGCATTTGGGGTCCCCCACACCTCACTGACTCGCGTTCTCTCCCTGTTTCAGAACGTGCTTCATGATATCTACTTCTCGCAGAGAATAAAGTACATTCAAATTAGTTCTGTTTAGGGAAAAAAAATGTATTTTGAGAATTTCACCTCTGCCCTCTGCCGATGCGAGCATTCTCTTCTGTGGGTGCTTCTTAGTTTCACTAATGGCAGTGCTCTGACGGCCCAGGCCTGGGTTAGGAGGCTAATTGATGGGGGGAGGGAGGCTGAAGGCTGCGCTCCCTTTAATGCTCTTCTCCGTAAACATGCACATACACATGCAGGCACACATATGTCTCCGCTGTGCTTTGCGTGCATACTTTGTGTATACAAACTGTAGGCCAAACCCTGTCTCAGGAAAGCCGTCTCTTTCTCCTGTTTATTTTCCATTTCCCCTTCTATTTGTCATTGTTCTAATGTGGGAGTTGGCAGGAGGGCCAGGAAGAGATGGTTTCTGGGTAGCGATTCCTCAGGAGAAGAATGTTTAAGCCTCTGGCTCCCTAACCCTCGGGAGGGTGAGTCAGGAGGGAGGAAAGGACGCATCTGTGTGCAGGTACTTGGGTGTCCAGGGTGAGGCTTCCAAAAGGGAGAAGGTAAGAAGCACCAGCCAGTGTGGAGAGAGAAAGGGGACAAGCGAGAGCTGGTCCACTCCTTCCGGCAGGAAGTGGCTTCTCTGAGCTGTGGCTTTGGTTTTAGGGGGGAGGTGGAGGGCGGGGGCCAGGGAAGGTGGGGAAGATGTGGACAGGGTGGAGGAAGGAAAGTGCTTAGAATTACTATCCCTAGTCGGGCATCTAACACTTGGCACACAAATCTGAGGTACATCCTACTCTGAAGGGGAGAGCGCACAGAGGAATCTAGGGGGTCCCTAGAGGGAGCAGATGGGCAGATGGTCCAAAGGAGGGCTGTGCCCCATCTAAGTGGTGGCAGAGAACCCCCTGGGGGAAAACAGAGGAGTGAATCTCCTGGGCGCACCGACCCCATGAGTTAGGAGACCCTGACCCCCCTTCCATGGGCCAGCACCCCTAACACGGTCAAGCCCAGCATCCCCACCCTCCCTCTCACTCCCCACATGCCCTCACCAGGCTCCAGCTGCAGACAAGTGCCATTGGCGTGGCACACAGAGGCCACGCTGTAAGTGGTTTCCATGTCCAGCAGGATCTGGTTGTACTGCAGGAGGAAGAAGAGAGGCTGTACCCCTTTGCTACCCGCTCTGCCCCAGGCGCCATCATGGGCAGGGGGCACTATGGAGCTGGGGGAGCACGTAGGTGTACGTCAATGTGGCAGATGTCATGACACAGAGGAAGAGGAAGCAGCTTGAAGGCCAGACCCCGGGCTAGGACCTGGTCCTGACCTTGGATCTTCCCCTCCCTGCTCCGCCACAAGCCACATACCTCCTCCAGCTCCTTGGCAGGCAGTGCTGCCCGCTCTAGGTCCTGAATCTTCTTCATCATCCGCTTAATGCTGTCATTCTGGAAGCTGGTCATATCAAACTGCCTGGCCCAGGTGCCGAACTTCAAGGTGTGGTTTGCCATCTGTATGTTCTTCTGTAGCTGAAGGCATAGGGGGAGAGTGGACCGTGGCATGAGGCTCAGGAGCTTTGGAGTGGCCTCTGAGAAGGAGGTGCCATAGGGGGAGCAGAAGGGACTGAGGGGTGCAGCGAGGGGGCAGTTTTATCAAGTCCGTTGCCTTTGCCGCAAAGACCCTCTTCAACCTGGACTGTCTATAATGTCCTGGATGCCGTCCGTGCCCCTCAACAGATAGCCATGGTCATGCAAGACCTATCCTGGCAGGGGAAAAGCAGGGGAAGCCCACCCTGGGTCTTGTTAGCAGACGGACAGGTTGGCATTAGTTCTGTGGCCTCTCTGAGCTTTAGGGTCCCATGTGTAAAATGGGAATAAGATCACTGGTTTTGCAAGCTACTGAGGAATAAATGAGGCAGCAGATGTAAAGCGCCAAGGAACTGTGGACAGCACACACAATGGTCTTCAAGAAATGCTAGTTCTCGGGGCCCCTGGGTGGCTCAGTCGTTGAGCATCTGACTTCGGCTCGGGTCATGATCTCGCGGTCTGTGAGTTCGAGCCCCGTGTCAGGCTCTGTGCTGACAGCTCAGAGCCTGGAGCCTGCTTCACATTCTGTGTCTCCCCATCTCTCGGCCCCTCCCCTGCTTGCACTCTGTTCCTCTCTCTCTCTCAAAGATAAACAAATGTTTTAAAAAAGAAAAAAAGAAATGCTAGTTCTCAGTGGCTCACATCGGTATAATCTGCACTCACCACACAGGTGGAGAGTGGAGTGAAGGGAAGCTAGTCCTTGTTGTGATGGCAAACAGGGACTTTCAATCTACAAATCCACCTTTACTGTTACTTATTTATGTACAAATCATTTTTAATTTTTTTTAGCATTTATTTATTTTTGAGAGAGAGAGAAAAAGAGGGGGGGGAGGGGGAGGGGCAGAGAGAGAGGGAGACAGAATCCAAAGCAGGCTTCAGGCTCTGAGCTGTCAGCACAGAGCCCTATGCGGGGCTCGAACTCACGAACTGTGAGATCATGACCTGAGCCGAAGTTGGCCACTTAACCAACTGAGCCACCCAGGCGCCCTTATGTACAAATCATTCTATTGCTAACGACAGACTGCTTGTTAATCAGAGACAACTTCTTTAGGCATTGAGCATTTACCCACCCAAATCTGAAGTTGAGTATTATTTTAAATATTTCCTCTGGATTTTTCACAAATCCTGACAGCCTCCCTCCCTACACACACACACACACACACACACACACACACACACTGAGTGTGTGGGGGGGAGGGGGCAGCTGGCTCTGTCTTCGGTTTTAAGGATTGGTCCCTGGGAGGAGGAGCAGGCACATGCGGTGTGTGTGTCTGTGTGCGTGTGTGCGTGTATGTGTGTGTATGGGGGGGAGGGGGGACGTGGAGAGGGTCCTTACCAGGATCTTGCTGGCCTCTGTGGTGATGTTGGTGTTATAGTTCCAGTTAGCCTCAGCATACTCATTCCATATCACCTGGGATCTTCGGTCATATTCCTCCACAAACTTTCTAGCCTCCACCTCATCGGTCACCAGGCCTGTGGGACAGAGTAGAGGCAAAGAGACAGGCCTCCCCTTGCCCTCTGCTGCGGGTGGGCCCAAGCCTGCCACTGTCCCTGCCTCTCCCTCCTCACCGACCCCCCCAGGCCCCGCCCCGCCCCCCAGCCGGTCCCACTTGGGTTCTGGGTTGTCTGGCTGCTGGTTGTTGTTTGGCGAGTTGTTGTCTGGCTGCTGGTTGTTGCCTGGCTGGTTGTTCCCTGGTTGGTTGTCACCTGGTGGGTGGCCTCCTGGCTGGGGACCAGCATGGGGTGCCCACAGCAGAGCAGGAGAAGGAAGAGGCTAGGCAGTCCTGGAGCAGCCCAACCTTGGCCCATGGCCGCAGGAGAGCAGAGCCCTGTGGCCACAGCCCCCCTGGCCAATAAGAATGGAGCCTGCAATGTGACCTCATAGAGCAGTGTGCCTGCCAGCCTGCCCCCAGGGAGGGGCCTCAGATCTGGGCACACCCTCTCTAGAATGATGGGGAAGAAACATACCTGTCCGCCACCCCCTCTCCCCCGCCCAAACCAAGCTGTGATGAGCAAAGGCCCTTTAGGGCAGGGCGCTGGGGCCCAGCTGGGAGCAGCTCACCAGGAACCAGGAACCCGGGGCCTGTGTCCAGAGCCCAGAATCCGAGAGTTGCTTTAGCACCCTACCCCACCCTGCATCAGGGCTTTACCAATGTCCTGTGGGTAATTGTGGGGTACTGGTGGCCGCCACTGGTATTCCGGCCACCCCAGCACTTCGCCGTTGCGCTGATTCTGCTCCCGCAGCCACCGGCTGACTGGCTGGAAGTAGTTGAGCAGAGGTTGAGCATCCAGTGTATCTGAGCCAATCGCCTCCTTTAGCACCTCCTGCCATGGCCGTGAGGAGCCTGACCGCAGCGCCTCCCTGTCAGGCAGAATGGGCACGGTGGGCACAGGGGGCACAGGCCAGCATCCAGTACTGGTCCCTGGCCCACCTCTGTCCCCCACTGGCCTGCAAGAACAGCAACATGAAGATTCTGGGGGAACCAGGAGCTCTGGGAAGGGGACAGGGACGTTGTTTGTCCCGTGCTAGCCAGAAGGCCCACTCTGTAAATACTTGTGAGGAAGGAGGGGGTGGGAGGGAAGAAAGTCTCCCTCTGCCACCAGGGCCCTGTGACTTTCCCATGAGCAGCCAGTTGCCTTTTAGACACATCTTCCTTCCCCCTCTCCCCTCACCTCCCCCTTGCCCTCTTGATCCCCCCACACACCTGAGCTTGGCCCCCGCCTGGGTGGACTGGTAGATGTCGCACTTGTGCAGTGGGCCTTGGTGACCCGCCTCCTTGCACAGGGCTTGATGGAACTGGAATTGCAGCACAAAACTCACAAAGTACCTGCAGGTACGGGCTGGGTGTTAGGGGGGATGGTGGGGGGCGCCCTTGCCCGGGCACCATTCAGCTCCCCACAGGGCAGAGGCCAGACGGGGGAGAAGGGAAAACCAAGCCTGGCCCCAGGGAGAGGCCCACTTAAAATTCCAGGCTCATGGGGGGCCCAGAAGAGCATGGGGACAAGCCCTGAAAACTGGTAGGGGTTGGGGGGGGCAGTAGTACCTGATGTACGGTGTTACATTTGGGACATGAAACTTAGCTCCGGCATCAAAGTGCGTTTCATTTCGGGCAATTGGAGCACAGATTCCCTGATACTTGGTTCTAGAAGAGGATTGATAAATTGTTTTAGGATGTAAGGATTGCATGAAGGCTATTTTAGCCTTTGCAAAAAATGCTGTTAAGCAGGCATTCCCACCTTTCCCACGGGGGCCATCCCTTCCCCTCCTGGTGAATTGGGGAAGACTTCTTGGAGGAGGGAGTTTCAGGCAGGACAGAATGTATGGGGAAAAGGGTGAGGGGTGGGGGGCGGACTGATGGAGGCAGGAGGCTCCTGGTTGTCCAGGAGAGTGGGGAGGGCCGCTTGGGATTAGGCCTTTCCTGATTCCCCTTTGCTCACCGAAGATACCACCAGTCAAAGTTGTAGCGGGAAGGGGGGGTTCGCCCACTAAAGACCCCCCAGCGCCACTGGTCCACCAAGTAGCCAAAGGGCAGGAAGGCAATTTTTTCCAGTGCCATCTTTAACAAGTAATTGATGTCACTTTCTGTCGGAAGATGAGATGAGAAGAGAGGTCAGAGGGAGATGGGGGTCCAGCTAGGGCAGGGTGGGCCTGGGCAGGAGCTGGCGGGAGCCAGCAGGTGGAAGGGCTGGCAGATGCAGAGAAAGGAAGGCTGGCCTTCAGGACCATGGAGCCCTGCTTGGAAGAGGGCCTTTGGGCAGTGTCCAGGTAGGACTCGGGGTGGGCTGTGAGGCTCCAGGTGGATCCCCAAACCTGCCTGACCTGGGGCAGAGCGGCAGAAACAGGAAGGGCAGGTGGGAACACGGGCAAGCTGAGTCCTGCCGTGGGATGGAGTGGGGTCTGGGTAGGGCCGGGCCGGGTCCTCTCCACCCCCCATACCCATGTCATTGCTGACATTGTCCAGCAGGCCAATTTTGTACAGATGTTCAGGAGTGGAGACGGAGAGCGCCAGCACATCCCCGATGGCCTCGTGGAAGCCAGGGTTGGCCCCTTGGCGCAGGGAGACAGGCTGGTCCTTGTACTGCAGATAGTACTGCACGTGGCCCATCTCGTGGTGCACCGTGGACAGCTGGTCCATAGTGACCCGCGTGCACTGCTTGATCCTGGGGCAGGGAGATGGCAAGGGTGAGGGTGAAGGACAGGGCAGGGACCAGAGCATGGGGAGGCTGGCACCTGAGGGAAAGGGACCAGGCGGGCGCTGCCCTGGGCCTTGAAGGAGCTGGTGGAAACATACGCATCCTCTGCCCTGCCTCAGCCCACACTCAGGCCTTTGTCCTCCATTCCAATGTACAGAGTTGCTCCCTGGCAAAGCTGCTAAGGGAAGGTGGCCTAGACGGTCTCATATGCCCAGGGGCCTTGGAACAGACCCAGTCCACCAAACAGTGTTGGGGCTGGGGTAGAGGTTGGCCTGGGAAATGGCTTTCCTGTGCCCAGGCTGCCCACCCTTCCTGAAGCTCCAGAATCCCCCCTTTTCCCTCCCATGTCTAGACCTGAAGTCTTTCCTGTTGTAGAAGTCCCAGGCAGAGGCGTGGCACACCACCTGACGCCCGTCGGTAGGTTTCTCCAGCATGGACCTTGTCCAAAACTCAGGAGGCATGGGCAAGAGCCCCAGGGAGGTGAAGAATTCCTCTGCCACTCGGAACATGTGCGTAATGTTCCAGCCCTGGTTTGGGGGGTGGTGGTGCAGGTCCAGGTCAGGGACCAGCAGAGGGAGCTCACTGTGGCTGTCCCAGGGGCGGGTCTAAGGGTCTCCCACCTAGATTTGCTCCTTGCTCGTGAAGGGCATCTCTGCTCTGTGGCCTCCCTTCCCAGAGGCAGGCCCCCTACTAACCATAGTGGATAAACAAAAGTAGACGGCTGCTCTCACCCCACCTGTGGGATCCTGGAAGGAGGGGCTGGCACCTCACCCAGGACACAGACCCCAGATCACTGCTTGTACACACACTCAAGGCTGCTGCTATGTAGAAAGGGCAGGACTGAGGTCCCTGCCTTACCCGTCTCTCTCACATGACTTCTTCCTGCCCTTCTCCCCGTGTCTGACTACTTCTTGCTGCCCCCACCCTGGCCTGACTCGAAACTTACCTTCTTCACCATAGTGCTGGTCACGTCGAGACTGGGCTTGTTAGGAAAAGGCACCACCATATCATAGAGGTTGTCCCAGCTCTGGGCCCACATGTCCCCTAGACAGAGGAGGGGAGCCAGATAGCTTAGTTCCCTGCCTGCTTCCCCATATGTGCTGCTGGGCAGCTATCTGGGTCCCTGGCACCTGGGCCCTGGGAACTCAAGGGTAGCCTGCTCGGCCGGCTGAACCAAGCATTTTCTACATCAGTCCCACTCAGACTCCTGAATGCTCCAGGATCCCTGGGGTCGGCGGTGTGAGCCCACATGATGCTGCTGGGGTCCTTCCTGGTGGTGCCGGGGTCCCTGCCTCCCAACCCTGAGGCAAGGCCACTGGGCTTGCAGCCTGGGGCATAATCTTATCCCTTCCCCACTGGATGCAGTCAAAGTCTTCAGTGTGATTCCTAGCTCTGCCTTTTGCTAGTTCTCTGCCCTCTGCCAAGTCATTTATGCACCTCAAACTTCAGAGTCGCTGTCTGAAAAGTAGGAACAGTAATGGTGATGAGAAGGGCCGCATGCTATATGGGGTCATGGGGTGAGCTACGTGGGCTCATGTGTGAGAGTGGACAGGACGATGCTCTAAAATGTGAGGCATGAGGAGGACAATCCATGGGACATGCATAGAGGCAAGGCAATGTCCTTACCCAGCAGGTGAGCAGGGATGGGTCCCCTGAGGTTGATGTATCTGTCCCCATATCGGCGGTGCAGCGCACGGCGGACATAGGCATGGAGGTTCAGGTAGAGGGGCTCTACTTGATGGTAGAGGTGTTCCAGATCCTCCACGAAGGTGGGTGAGTCATACCAGGAGCGCCAGTAGGCCCCCGTATCTGGGAAGCCTGGTGGAGGGGGCAGGGGTGGTATTGGGGTGCAGCTCAGGTCCCAGGCTCTGGCACTTCCATGCCCAGCTACTTCTTCGCCATTCTCCTGGCCTGCGGCCCGTGTATCCGCCAGCTACTTAGAAAAGATGGCCTGGGGACCACTGCTCTGTGATTTTCCAACTAGGGGTCATTCCAATTCTAGCTAAATAGATCCCGGAGAGGCAAAGATGAGTGCTGGGGCTCTGAGGTGTGACAGGAGAGGCAGGAAAGAGGGCCACTGTGAGAGCCAGGCAGCAGCCCAGAGGAAGGCAGATGGGGCTCGAGCTGGTTCTGTGCGACCTTGGGTCAGTGTACAGAGTCACTGCAACACTTACTCTTTCTGGGGTTGGGCTCAGTGGGGACAGTAGATGATGGGAGAGCACGTTGCCGTCTGGGAAGGGCAGTGCTCACACAACAGACGGGGTGGGTAAACTCACCATCCTGCTTGTAGGCCTCATTGCTGAGGGCAGTGAAGTTCTGGTACAGGGGTTTCAGCGGGATGCCCACAGCATTGTGCCAGCCCTCCCAGGCATAGAGCAGCACGGAGTAGCTTCTTGATATAGCCATGATGTGGGTGAGCTCTGAGACACAGGTGAGTGGGGTCAGGTGCTTCCTTTGAAGGCAGCGACGGTCTTCAATAAAGCACCCATGCTGGTCTTCACCATCTCTACCTGCTTCCTCAACATCATGATGCCCCCAAAGCCAAGGGTTGCCTATAGGCTGGGTGGGATGGGACTGGGAGCCATACAAAGAGAGCACCCAAGAGGGGCCCTTGTCCCTAGGAAAGGGAGGTGGACAAAAGGAGGACATCCAGAGGCCAGTTCCAGACAGACTCTTCATGGCTCATTGGTTACAGTGGCTAACCTCAGGCTGCCTCGTGGATGGAGTAGGGTGTGGGGGGAGAATAGGAAGGTATAAGCAGAAGTCACAAGGGTCTAAGTCCTGTGGAGGGCTCTTGGGAGACTGAGAGGATCCATAAAAGGGAAAACCAGGCAGCCAAGAGGAAGGCTAGTAGGGATGGGAGAGGCCAAAGAACGCATCGGGGTGGGGGTTGGGGTGGGGATGGGAGCTGGAGGCTGGAGGTTTCAGAAATCAGATTGCCCAGAGAAGCAAGGGTGCGGGGGCATCTGACAGTCCAGCCTCAACTGGAGGTCAGTGCCTTTGGGTTTGGATTTACCCACTCCCTCCACGGCCCCTCCCATTAAACATACCCTCTTTATGGGTACAGCAGGGCTGCAGGGGTGGGGTGGGGTGGGGTGGGGTGGGGTGGG